ATCCAACCTGAACCTCCCCTAGCCAAACTGCAGATGAACACCCACTACAGACCCACAGTTCATGCCAGATTATATGTGTACTGGCACTTAACCTATGCTCATCACCATATCAGCCAAGTACCTAGTAAGTCTGGGATATCCTCATGGATTAAAACAGCTGACCTCATTGAAGATCTGCTAGTTTGTAATACTGAGCCATCAGCTAAGGATTTGGACTGTCATCTGAACCACAAGAAGCTTACACAGGATCTACTTACTGCATTGTTCCAGCACCATGCGAAACATTTTTATTCAGCATGCTCTAGTTCCTTCTACTTTCCTTTTTTTTTTTTGTGGCTGGGAGAAAGCTAAGCTGAAATAAAATGTTCCACATTCTCTCCAAATGAAGTGATTTTTCTCCAGCATTTTATTAGCTTCTCCAGGAAAGTCTGGTTTCTTCTCAAGAATAAGAGAGGAGTTTCCAATTTCCTTTGTGCTTATCCCACTGCACACTTCTAACAGCAATACTTGTGACAATGGGTCTGAGAGGACCTTCTCCTGAGAAACCCTCCCAAATCTGCCCAAAGAGCAGCTCCTCTCTCCAACACTGCAGTGCTTCTCCGACCCAGCCTCCTGTCCACAGCAGGTTTGGGGGATGCTGACAGAGGAGAAAGAAGGCTCCTGGTGACAGACAAAATCCTGCCGGTTCTGCAGCAGTGCTGGAGACCAGATACCAGCCAGCATGGTCAAGAGTGCATCGGAGCATACTCCATACTCCAGCATTTCTGTCCTTCAGCTTTCACGGAGCACATTCTCCCCAGGTGGTCTGGCACGCGGCGGGGACAGGGAGCAGAACACTCACCACCAAAGTGCAGCTTCCCCACTACTCCTTTCTCTTTAGGATCTCTGCATCTCACCATTTCAGACACTTTTGGCACTTTCAGGAACACAGTACGCTGCCTGTACCAGTTTGCCCAACGTCAAGTTTACATGGCATATATTGAAGGCTGACATATATAAAATGACAGATTGCAGATGTAATTACATTTCTGGAAATACTTACAATGATTAAGCTTGTCCTGTCTTATTCCTGCAGAGAAACTAATGCGCTAATTTTTTAATGAGAAGTTAAAAATTAGTCATTGAAACCTATCTGAGGGAACACACAGCTCAGGCAGTGCTACCAGTGCTAGTGACCAGGGATCTTTGGCTCTTCAAGGACGTTGAAAATATAACTGTTACTGGCTAGATACACAAGTCTGGATGCATGACAGCAAATAATTTTAAGATGCACATCAAGTATCATGGAAGTCTCCTTGTGTAATCTATCCGCATTCATTTATCAAATTTCATCTTCAAGGACTGAAGTTGGATGTAGGCTTTCACTCTCCTCCTGAGCCCAAACAGAGGGGGGGCGGGGGGGTGGTGTGGGGAATCTCCCAGAAACTCAAAGTCCAGAGCAAAGCAAGCTGAAATACAGATGAGCTTTCAGAGCATCCTGACGCCTGGCTGGGAGATGTCACATTCATTAGTATGGGTACACAGGCAGTCGGAGAGATTTAATTGCACTTTTCCAAGCAAACGTGACCTAAAAAGATTTAAGCAAAGTTACATTTTCTGAACAGTCACAACAAAACCTATATAAACCCCAGACAATTGCTCAGCCATAAACTGCTTATTAAGACACAATTTTAGTTGTCAGAAGCAAGTAACTGTATTGCCTAATCCAATCAGGTGTGACAACGATAAAGCAATATAATAGCTAGACCTGAGCCACAAAAATACCCCTTAGGCACAGTTCTCCTACTAAAAGATGCTCATTGAAAAATCTAACTAGATGCAGTGGAAATTTATTCTAACATGAATATGGGGTAGGAAAAAAATCCAATGTTTGAACACAGCAATTGCAATCTCAGATGTATGCACTACTCTGACACTGAGTAACAAGTAAGAGCACTGCTTAAAAATTGCCTTTACTGCATTTTTACTACATAATGAAGCATTTGTATATTAAGTGACATTTTTCCAATTATCAGAAAAAGCTTTTTACAGAGCTTGCTTGACTGTGCTGAAGCTCTTTTTTTTCCTCTCCTACTCTTCTAAACTGATTTAAAAGCAATTCTCAGTAGGGCACGAGTGAATGTATTGGGTGGTACCCCTTATTACAGTGGTATATCCCAGCTGCCCCTTCCAATAACAACAAATATCAAAGTTTCCTCTCTGTTAAATTGCCACCAAAAATTCTTGGCAGTAGTAAAGGATAGCACTGTGTTTATCTATACCAGCAAGAGAACTAGCCCCTAAATATATATATGATGTTCCTGTTGGACACAAGATGACAAAGGCTATTGCAAATACCCCAGAATCTGGGTACACATTTTGCTTCCCTTAGAAAGAAGGGCACTCAGCACAAAATCTGTGAGCCTTACTAATGTCACATTTTTTAACGGTATCCTTCCTGAAACTTTTACCTTGAGTGCATGATAAATAACGTTTTAAAATTACAGATGCAAGTCATGTATTTTGCAGATTCAGCTGTGTCTTTTCTCCCTCCTAATTTAGTGAGAAACTAACCTGAGTGATTTATTCATAATACCAACAATCTACCACTTTGCTGTTCTGTTACCAGTTTTTATGATTTGCTGCAAAGATAAATAAACCAATCCCATCCAAGGTGCTCCAGTGGCAATGGTGGTCACACTTCAGTATTTTGCAGAAGGTCGAAAAGAGCCATATTCTTTTGACAGAGAGTTTACAGTAATTTTACCAGAAAGTTAAAGTGAAAGTCAATATTTAATTCAGATCTTGCATGCTCTAATATGAAGGGGCTTTAATTCTTGAAAAAAACCACCCATTTATTAATACACAGAAACTCATGACATACAAGCCAAGAATGGCAAATAAAGTAGCGGTGTCCTTTGCTGGAGTCTTACTGTCACAGGGGAAATCCGCCTTATCCTACAGAGATGTAACACAGTGTAACTACACAAAGTCACCACTGGATATGAAATGAAATCTCATTTATATTACATGCAATTTCAGCAAAATATATGCCAATCCTTTCAAACCTCTTTCCCAAAGCTTCCCACCACTAATGCCAGAGAAAAAGAAAAATGGACAGCATGTATATGTTCTATATGCCTATAGTTATGCATACACACAGAGTGGGTTAAATCTTTTTCCTTCAAGCCAGTTATACTGTAATTTAATTACTGGAGCAAGCAGTTTGACACCAATGAACTTCTTAAACAATGCTTGCAGTGAAGGAAAAGATACGTTTTCAATTCCCAAGAGGAAGGGTGGTGGCTAAAAAGTTGTAAAGGAAACCACTCACAGGGTTATTTCAATACCCTTGCTAAAAACAGCCCCCTGGAATTTTAAAAGTCCCCTCATCCTGCTCAGAACAATTGGAAAATTACAGATCACTTAAAATATGGTAATTTAATAGATTAAAAAATAAAATGAATAAAAAAAAACAGTTGTCACTTATGGAATTGCACTGTTCATTTCTCCAATTTCTCTGGTAGTTGCATCTGGATATAGCTAGTG